ATGAATTCGTTAAAATATATATAAATTAAAAGAGAAAAAAATGTGTCTTATTCTGAGTATTATTTACTGTAGTCACTTTCGTCGAGCTTGGAATAAGATTCCGTAATCTGTTCCGTTCACCAAACAGCAACGCGCAAAAGAAATAAACCACTCCCACCATCACTGCAACCACCAGGCCGAGAATTTTTCAGCAGCCCTGGTAAATATTTCATAGCATTCGTTTATAAAATACTCACTCACCTCCAGATATGTCATGCGACCTCTCAGTCTAGGAGCACCTCCGCATATCGAGGTATACTGTTAGCCAAAGCTAAGCAAAGTATTAAGAATGAAGAAAATTTTGTTAGAAACAAAGAAAAGACTTCTTAACTGCTAAGTAACATCAACACACCTACATAGCAATGAATGCTGGATAATTTTCTCACAGATCCCGAGGAGACTTGAGGCAAAAGAGACGAGGTTATACAGAAATATCATGGAGAAAGCACGTAAGCAACACATAAGTTTTAAAGAATATTAAAATAAAAAGGACACTTATACTCAGAATCCGAATGATACAGTTCAAATATTTGGGATACATAATGAGAAAAGAGGACTCTGAGAATTTAACATCCGCAAGACATATTGAAGGCAAGCAGGTCAAAGTGAGACAGCGAGTAAAACACTTAACGATCTTTTTTGAATGGATGACAGAACCGGGAATATGATAAATAGTAAAAACATAAACATTGCGAAGAAGTACAAAGGATAAGAAGTTGTGGAGAGCCATGGTCAGTCAAATCTTTAAGGGACACGACGCACACATAACTCGATTTTAGTACGTCGTTTATCGATCTTTGAAAAAAAACTTCTGCTGCTGAGTTTCATATAAAATTACAGAAACCGTTGATTACACGTTTGTCTTGCTCGTCCTGTTAAATAAAAAGCGTTTGTCTTGCCCGTCCTGTTAAATAAAAATTGGTCCAGAGTAAGATTGTCCGTACCAATAAAAATGAGTTTATTAGAAGAATACAAAAGAAGGAAACCGTGTTTAGTTTCATGTTAACCTTCAACCTTTTTTTAATGGGGTCTACTGGTAAAAAATGTTTACCGTTTGCTTAATAGGATTCAAAGTCAATATCTTTAATTTAAAATTGTTGAAATGTGAATTAATTCTAACTGCAAAACAACGTGGTGATAAACTGATTTGTATGAATCAACTTTGTTGAGAATGGAGACATTTCTGTCTTGTGCTTTTGATGATTTTGTCATTATAAGAAGTGAGAGCGAAAAGTTATCAGACCGATTCGCTTTCTTAAAGCTGATCAAATCGCCTATCGTCCGCTTCACCTCTCCTCCTCGGTCTTTGAATCAAGAGAGAGTAATACTGAGTAAAATTGTGAGTTTGGGATCAAATATAGATCAAATATGGATCGGAATCTGACAGAATGATAAGATAAAGAATATGTAAAATGTATACAGTCTTTCTCGTATGTTTTTACAGATATCTATAATGAGTGAATTTAGTTAGAAATACAAGGAGTGTTTGGCATTTTCTTCCCTCGATTTTTTGTTGAGTAATAAAAGATAAATGTTACTATTATGGCATGAAAAAGGAAATATTTTCGTTGACGCACGTGTTAACGACCTGTCCTGTTCGCCACTGTGAACCTGTCCGTGTGGACTCCTCTTCGTTTTTTTAAAGAGTAGTTGAGATTTTGTCACTTTTTTTTTATTATTGGGGATTGGGTTTTCAGTTCCTTCTAAAGTTTTTTTTCTTTCTCTTTCAATCCTTGTAAACTCACTGTGTCTTAGTGACTTTATCGCCTTGCTTGGGGTAGATTGATATTTTTTTTTTATAAAGATCCTTAGTCTGAATGAGAATTTTTCAGCGGTATGTCTTTTAAAAATTACTCTCTATACTTGTCCCTTTAAAACTATGAAGTATTTGTTACCTAGCGCTTACATTAAATTCAAATTCAGAAAGTTCTTTGAAAAATTCAGTGAATAAAAACTTTATTTTTTTTTATTTATAATGAAATATACAATTTACCTCAAACCTGAATTACAGGATTTACTTGTAACATGTGGTAAGGTCAGAGGATGTCATGATGCTATAAATGGATATATATATATATAAAAAATATCGTTTACAAGTTTTGGGAAATTTTGCATAAGCGACTATTGTTAGTCTCAAATTGCTAGTCATCCTATATGCAAGCAAACTGTACATCTTGCAGGTAATGCATTTCTTGCTTAATACCGTACCATTGGAACAAAAAAATATATAAATAATTTATCTGACCAAGCCCACTGCACAGTTTTCATCGATCCAATTTCTATTTTTCACGCACCAATGCATCCAAAACAAGGCCCAAGAACCCATGAAAGTAGAGCGTTATTGACTCAGGTTGATTTATAGACGTAAAGATTGTAGATTATAAGTACACTACAGTCCAAAAGCTTGAAGACATCCCCAGAATAAGCATGGGATAAACTTGACACAATTGAAAAAAGGAAATGAAAAATACATTTTGGAATCATTGAAAAAAGAATGGAATCAATTATCAAGCTTATACTTCGAAAAAAATTTTCAACGAATGTCAAAAATTTGAGCTGCAGTAATGAAGGGTAAAGGAGGATATTTTAACGAGAGTAAAATTTAATTGTAATTTTTTTCTTTTTGTCATAATAAAATTTCTAATAAAAAATATCATGTCTCACTTTTTTTTAACCATGTATAATACTTTTCTCTTATTTAAAGTACGAAACAATTACATTTGGGACCAGTTTAAAAATTACCAGGAGAGGTTTCAAAATTTTGAACTGTAGTGTATATGTAGAATAGGTAAGAGCTGACACTGGACTTTAAAAGGTTAAGTTTGTGGTTGGTAAATCATCCTCTCGGAAGTTTGTTCTACTAAGCAACTACTCTTGAGAAAAAGTTGACAGAATGGACCGTCCATTTTACCAATGGAATAAGAATGAAATGAGAATGTTTCGCCAAATATCATACCTGGTCTTAGCTTTAAAGGTCTGAACTGGTGGTACTAAAGACATATATAGTGATAAAATAGTGAGAGGCTACGTTGTGTCTGTGGAAGGGTGTTGTAAGGTGGAAAAAGTTAATCACCTAAAAGGTCATGTAACCACGTTTGGGCAGCTCTGGTCGACATATGGTAGCAATATTCCATTTTTGGTCTAATCTCCTGAAAGACCCGTTCTTACCACCCATCAGCATGTTTGATGCTAACCGCCATGACAAGGACTCATTGATAAACATTCTTGGCTTAAAGTTAAAAAAAATATATTTGAAATTTTTTTTAAAGTATTGGAAAACCTGATATTAAAACGTTTAGGTAACAATGTACTAAGATCTTATTAATAAAACCCTTTGAAAACACTGGCTCGTGTTGCCTTTTCTTTCTTACTTTTGAAATTAGTGCCGTTTTGTTGCTGAAGACAATCTGGATGTTTTGTATATCATTCATGCTAACAAACTGCAGAGGTGTGAATTGTATTTATTGCCCATCAGGAACCTTTGATCTATTAAGAGTTGATATGTGGTGACCCTGTTGTGGTACGATCCACCTAATTTACATAGTGGAGTACCGACCATATAAATATGGTTGGTACCGGGAAGACGGGGGAGGAAGAAGAGATCCAATCCAGAGACTCTGCCCGACTGCGACTAAGTCAACCCATTCTACAGGAACGGTCTTCCCAAGAATATACCAAACTATCTGTAAATATTGTGTACACGTTCTTGTGTCAATACATTTTGTTTAAGTACATTTTGTGTTGTATTAGTAATTATTCCATGCTTTATTCAAGTTTCAACAGACCCCAATATATAGTTTTCATATTAAGAGATACATGAGTTTGATCCTCAATAGGTATCCTACTAGTGTGACTTTGAGGCAAACTAAATCAACTTTAGTAAATGATATGGTAAGTGGATACAAAATGGGCAGATATATTTTTGATGAATCTTCATTTAGGATTGAAACATCTTGTTGTCTGATCAAAGAATCGATGCGATGCGGCACTAAAACGTCGGTTCTAAACATTATTTTCTTTCATTTCACTATAATTTTTTCCCAAAAATAAAGATAAATATGACACTGAAACAGTAGTTCTTAACTACTTTATTTTTTTACCTCTGGCGTTGACATATGGTAGCAATATTCCATTTTTGGTCTGAACTCCTGAAAGACCCGTTCCTGCCGTCCGTAGGCATGGCTGATGCTAAACGTCATGAGAGGGATTCGTTGCACCTTTTTGGCCTAACATTCTCGGTTGACATGAAGTGGAAAGACTATACTGAATCCATTGCTAAGTCTGCTGCTAAGAAAGTATGTTCATTGTGCTAGACAATTTTCCCTCCAGAATCTATTGTTCATGTTTATAAGTCTTCCATTCGTTCATATTTTGAATATTGCTGCTATATCTGGTCCTGTGCTCCTGCTATATATTTTCAGATTCTTATAAAGTCCAAAGAAGTATCAACAATATTATTGGTCTTCATCTGGTGTCTCAGACTCAGTCACTTTTCCACCGTCATATTTTCCACCTTCTCTGTGCCGCTTCTACATGAACCTTTCGCTATGGTACTTAGACTTTATGAATTTAAGCGCAGTACTAGATTGGCAGATAGGTCTATTCAATTCAAAATTGAATTGGGTAGATGTAACCGTGAGTTCTATGCTAGCAGTTTATTTTCTCGCACTTCTCATTTGTGGATCTCTCAACCAGTATCATACTTTACAGCCAACTTTGATCTTCAAAGATGTTAATGCAATGTCAATCGTTATCTACTGTCTTGATTACTCTTCTATTCGTTTCGTTCACTAATGTTTCTCTCCTGTTCTTGTTCTTCCGTATTCAGACCCCCACCCCTTGTCTCTTAGTAGCTTTACTGCTTTGCATAAGGGGATATGTTTTAAAAATTGTAAAGATAGATCATGACATGTGGAGTCCGGTATTTTGTAGAGCAGTAATATTTCTTCTTTTTATTACAGGTGAAAACAACTGTCAGGTACGACCAAATTATCAGTTTAGAACGGAAATGCGCCAGTTCCTGTCAAAATGGTTGTTTAAGGTACACATTTGCAAAATGGAAGGTAATGTGCACTGACTGTTGTAACCAATCAGAATGCAACGTGTATGGAGGCGTATCCAGATATGACGGCAACTATTGGTTAATTATTACGATGCTCCTTTTCCATATCGTGGTATGTTTCGCGTTTGACGCCATTGTCGGTAGGTTTTATTCAAAATAAACGATTAAAAAATTGATTCTTTGTTGCATCTCGTGACCCACATTTGTTTCTTTTTCTTTACTCTAATTTTGCTACAATTTCGATTAATAATCTCCAAAGATTCTCATTGCATAAAGATCTTTCATTGTAATTTCTAAAAAATCAAATGAAGCTTTATCCGACATTATTTATTTCTACCGCAAACATTATTTTGTGGATACTCATGTTTAAGTAGATGCCCTGTTTCTTTAAATAAGGTGAATTACATCTGTTGGCAAAGAGATGTAATTCACCTATTGGGGGTCGAAATTCCAATCACCTAAAGAAGGCCGGAGCGTGCACACGGCCGAAACGTTGTGAATATGGCAATGAAGATGGGGATAACAGTGCGAATAATGTAAATAATGTAAATAACAGGTTCCTATATTTTTCTTCAAATAAGGCATTTGGAAACGCATTATGTAAAATATGAAGCAGTTTTTTGTTTTTAATTATTTTTTAATAAAATAAATTGACATATAAAAAAATAAAGAGATATTAAGAAAATGTGCTCTCTGGTAAGTTTTTTTTTTACCTCAGCCCCCTTTTCTTAGGAGAAGCCAATATTTGACCCAGAGTGCTTTAGGCAACTTGGCAAAAGCCAAGAAAGATTCAGTTCCCCTTTTGAAGAATGCGCATCTTCTCGTTCAGATCTCGGAGGCCCATATCTGCTCATTTTTTGTATCCGAAATGTAAATAAAGTAATTTTGAAGGAATTAATGGCATTTTTATACAATATTATTTTCTGCTACTCTCAACGTTATTTTGTGGTTACCCATGTTTAAGTAGACGCCCTGTCTTTTGGAACGGTGTGAATTATATCTATCAGTTTGTGCATTCGAGAGACTGTTACCTGAGAGCACATTTTCTTTATTCTGGAATGAAAAAATAAAAGCAAGAAAAAAAAATTAGACATTGATTGTTCTAGTTTCACGTGCCATGCCTCTTCCGGATGTCTAAGTTATTTCCCTTTAACTCAAATTTCCAAGTTTTGGGTTCACCGCTGCTGTAGTATTGTATTGAACAATCTACCTCGGTTGATAAAATAAAGTGTTCGATTCGAAATTCCAATCACCTAAAGAAGGCCGGAGCGTACACACGGCCGAAACGTTGTGAATATGGCAATGAAGATGGGGATAACAGTGCGAATAATGTAAATAATGTAAGTAACGGGTTCCTATATTTTTCTTCAAATAAGGCATTTGGAAAGGCATTATGTAAAATATGAAGCAGTTTTTTGTTTTTAATTATTTTTTAATAAATTGACATATAAAAAATAATTCAATAAAACACAGTTGTTTTTTGTTTTTTTTAATTATTCATATTTTACATTATGCCTATTCAAATGCCTTATTTGTAGAAAAATAGTCCCTAATTAAGGTTTTAATAAATTACTTACATTCGGTTATTAAAAAAAAAAGTTTGTTTCTGGTGCTGAGTTGTCTCGGTTCTGAGTTGTCTCGGTTTTGAGTTGCTTCAGTCCTGAGTTTTCTCAGCGCTCAGTCGGCGGTGTTGTCCCTTCCCGTTCACAAGACGTTCATTGTCATTTTAATTTAATTTCTTTTTACGTACCCAACCGTTACTGGTGACCGTCGAAAACATCTACTTCTCGGAGTTATCTCCTCTTCGGCGTTTTAAAGACGAGATGAAAGATCACTGTTCAGGCAATTTGAATCGCACTACGGAGCATTTGCCGCTACTTTGAACGATAGCGATGGTACATGATCAAAACGACTGTTTCGAATGACACGCTGGAAACTAATTTAAGGTGAGTTACGACATGAATGGAATTCATTTAAATCGTTATGGCTTGCGAGTTGAGCTCGCTATTATCATACAGTGAGAATTTTAAACATTAGGCGCCTTGTAATGCGGTAACAGCGATGCGAATCTACCTGTTGTCGTAGTAGGCGGGATCTTCAGTAGGCGCCCGTACAATATTTGGTATTAAATAACACAGAAACCAACCACCCAAATCAAATCTTTTAAAATAATAATATAGAAACATATAACACCAGTTTTGAAAATATGCAAATTTCCCAAAAGAGAGCTATGAGAAGTGGATATAATTTCAAAACACTAGGGCCACTCGACAAAACCTCATTATTAAATGCTACCTATAAGAGAGCACTGAACTAAACAAAAATGAGAAAGACAAACATATAAAAGAAGACCACTTTCTCCTGAACGAGTTTATAGTAGCGACATAATGCTAGAAAATGTATTACAAAAAAGAAAAAAAAGAAAGAAAGAAAAACATTCAGTAAAAAAGAAGTATGATAAAACATTTTAAAAATTAGCGCCAAGATCTCAACTTACGTTTGAACTGGCTAGATGTAACCGTAAATTCTATACTAACAGTTTCTTCTGTCGTATTTCTCGCTTGTGGAACTTCCGGCTTTCCAGCCAATTTCAATTTGCAAAAATTCAAATGTCATGTCAATCTCTATCTACGGTTCTGATAATTCGTTTCCCTTCCCGCTGATTAGAAATGTTTCTGTACCCAATTCTTTCACACCCTGTAACCCCCTTGTGTCTTAGTGGCTTTTCTGCCTTGCATGGGGCGAAACAGATTAAAATAAAAACTAAAAAAATGTCTTGTAGATTTAATTTATAACCTAAGGAGAAACTCTGCATGAAAATCAGTAAACTAAAAGCCGGATAAGGAAAAGCGACTCCAGCTTCATGGAAAGTAATTAATTAAAGCAACAACGATGTAGGCTGTAAAATGAAACAAATAATAATATTGAATATAAGCAGATGATAAGTGTATTTAGGCAATTTTATTTGTTGATTTGGAAGAGACGGGACTGACCACAAAGTTTAGCTGTAAGAATAAAACAAAGAGAATAATCGAGAACATCTTTGGCGGGCATGAAAAGATTTCTTGCACCGATATTCTGACATATACTGCAGAAAAGAATCTGAACCTGATAACATGAAGATAAAGACTTGTAAGTTTCAAATAGTGAAAATATACCCATTTTTCTAACCAAAGTTCATTGAAAAAGATACACCCGGCCTCTGTTGAGATGTGTGGACATCTGCTGGGATTGTAGAATGGTGTAAACTCTGGAAAATGTTCGTGTATGGCGTGTAGGCCGAACTCCAGTAGGCTGAAGGGAAGATGCCTTGTCTCTGAACCAGTTTTAATCGGGAGGCCAACTGTTTCTTCCATTTGGTTCTGTGAATGCCAATGAATATATATATATATACATACATATATTGGGTTATTGTCATGTGAAAGTTAAATAAACACACGCACACACAGTATCATAATCAGCCAGCAAGATAAATAAATACAGATGAAGATTGATTTAGAAACACATAGATATGAACAGATAGATAGATCGATAGATAGATAGATAGATATAAATAGGTTGATATATACATATATATATATATATATATATATATATATATATATATATATATATATATGTGTGAACAGGTTTAAACAGAAGACAAATAGATGGATAGATAGATATCAGATTGGCCAGAAAGTCCTGAATCACTTAGGAATTGGAAAGAAAACAACAGATCTCGATCTGTGTCTGGTGGAATTTCAAGGATTACTTCATTTTGAGCTTGTGCCACACTGTCGCGCCATTAGCTAGACCACATGTACGACAAACTAAAGAAGGAGTATCCTGCTTTGGTCAATCGAGGTCGAGCTTTGTTTCAACAAGACAATGCGAGGCCACACAATGCCAGGTTGACTAAGAATTTCAAACAGGTGGACGGTGTTGAAACTCTTCCACATCCACAATTCAATCCCGATGCTGCTCCGAGTGTCTATGGCTTATTCCGCTCAATGGCACACTTCCTCCACGACCAGGAATTGGACATTTGATGATGTGAAGGAAGCTTGTTTACAGATTCTTTATTCGAAGCCAGCGGTCTGGTATCTAGGGCAGATATGGATTCTGGTTGATCGCTGATCGTCGAGAAGGATGGCCTTAATATTAAGTCCACTCTTCTCGACGGTCCTTAATTTCAATCTTAAGAATAAATGATGGTGTCACTTCAGAAAGTTTTATTGATTTCTTTCTGTTTCCTAAGTGAGTCAGGACTGTCTGGACAACCTGATAGATATGAATAGGCTTAAAAAGAGTTATAGATATTAGCTGAATTAAGCTGGTAGATAGATAGATAAATAGATATGAATAAGCTGGAAAAGAGATATATGTTAACAGACTGAAACTGATCGATATGAATAAGTTGAACAAACTGAAACTGATAGATAGATAGATAGATAGATAGACTGACAGCTAACTAGCTAGAAATGAACAAATAGATTGAGATATATATATATGTATATATATATATATATATATATATATATATATATATATATATATATATATATATGTTAAGAAATGGACAAGGTCCGACAATTTATTTATTAAAGACATTTTTTTATGTTTAACGTTGTTATTTATAGATACAAGTATTTAAGCAAATGCTCTGTTTATGATAAACAGTATTAAATAACATTTACCGGCCTGAATGTCCGAGAAATTTTCATAGAAAAAGAACGAATATTTTCTTTTCGCTGGTAATTTATTTATTGTTTATTTAAATTTCTTTAAATACTTGTATCTATAACAACAACGTTAAACATAAAAAATGTCTTTAATAAATATATATATATATATGCGTATCATTTTAAGACATTTTTATGTTTATACGTTCTTTTTATAGATACAAATATTTAAGTAAATGCTCTGTTTATAATAAACAGTATTAACGACATTTACCGGCCTGAATGTCCGAGAAATTTTCATAGTAAATATGCGTCCTCCGACAGGAATCGAACCTGTATCCTATACGGATCCGTCATATAGCCTGACGTCCTTTTACCTATTGAGCCACAGAGGAGCGTTTCGGTTAGCAACGTCGATTTTACTGTATTTAAACTACAATTCTCCATGATTTTCTCTCGTACAATCATATCTGCTCGATGCTTATCCAAATGTAAA